ACCTCGTTCCATAAAGTGAACTATGTATTTAGAAGTTGAGGGATGTGAGTGGATTTGCTGTAACGACCTCGTTACATAAAGTGAACCATGTATTTGAAAGTTGAGGGATATGAGTGGATTTGCTGTAACGACCTCGTTCCATAAAGTGAACTATGTATTTAGAAGTTGAGGGATGTGAGTGGATTTGCTGTAACGACCTCGTTACATAAAGTGAACCATGTATTTGAAAGTTGAGGGATATGAGTGGATTTACTGTAACGACCTCGTTACATATAGATAGTTCACTTTATGTAACGAGGTCATTACAGCAAATCCAATCATATCCCTCAAGTTCAAAATACATAGTTCACTTTATGTAATGAGGTCGTTACAGTAAATCCACTCATATCCCTCAACTTCCATATAGATAGTTCACTTTATGTAACGAGGTCATTACAGCAAATCCACTCATATCCCTCAACTTCTAAATACATAGCTGGATTCATCTCCATTCACGTCTCATTACGAAAAGGGTAATACCCTAAATCCACTCATATCCCTCAACTTCTAAATACATAGTTCATTTTCTGTAATGTGGTCGTTACAGTAAATCCACTCATATCCCTCAACTTCTAAACACATAGCTGGATCAATCTCAAGTCACGTCTTATTACGAGAAGGGTAATACCCTAAATTCACTCATATCCCTCAACCTCTAAACACATAGCTGGATTCATCTGAATTCACGTCTCATTACGAAAATGGTAATACCCTAAATCCACTCATATCCCTCAACTTCTAAACATATAGCTGGATCAATCTCCATTCACGTCTCATTACGAGAAGGGTAATACCCTAAATCCACTCATATTCCTCAAGTTCTAAATACATAGTTCATTTTCTGTAACGTGGTCGTTGCAGTAAATCCACTCATAACCCTCAACTTTGAAAGATGCTCAGTAGATGCTGATGATGATAATGGATTTGATACGCGAGGTGTGCGATAGCGTAATGGCTTAGGAAAGATATGGATACGGGCTGTAACAGGATTATGACATCACTCTGTGGGTGAGGGTGGGTGTGGGTGTGGGTGTTGGTGTGGGTGAGGGTGGGTGTGGGTGTGGGTGATGGTGGGTGTGGGTGTGGGTGATGGTGGGTGTGGGTGTGGGTGTCGGGTGTGAGTGTGGGTATAGGCATTCACACAATATAGACCCACACCCACACCCACTCCCTTGCATTAAAAAACCATGTTTTGATTATGAGGAGATTTGAAATCGAACGGTTCAAAAAATCTATTTTTTACTCGCTATACAATATTTTGACTTTTGTCATAGAGTACAGCAAACATCTCGATATGCTGCTTCTTAACGGTATCAAAGATTGTGATTGATATAGAGAAAATCTTTGTTTAAAGTTCATGAAACTCTATTGTGTTTCAATTGTTAATTCTGTAGGCATTGGATCGAACTTTTTTGCTTCTTTTCAAAAATTAGAACTTGTATTTTATGTTTTTCTAGAGTTTACCGTGCTAGTGAACTACGTGAATCAATTTATGGGCCTTCAGTTTGCAATTGATATATCAATCATTGAATATGCAACGGATATTACTCAAAATATAAGGACACCAAGGGTAAGTTAAATGGTTCGATTTTTTTAATTTTAAAAACAACAAAACAAACAACACTATATATTAGATAATAATGAATCATTTTGGTTGTCCCGCTATCAATACCGATCAACTTTATACAATTTACAGTTTTTTTATTTCAATTTTTGTCTCGTTTATTTACTCAATAACATTCATTATTACTGTTGGTTATATTGTTGAAGAACGTGAAAATAAGACAAAAGTAAGTACAAGAAAATATTCTTTGTGATCAATGAACTAGAATTACTAGAATAGGAACTATAATGCTAAATATTTTCTCAGGAATATTTGCGGATTTATGGTCTTCATACTTGGGTGAATAATTTAGTTTGGTTTAGCCGATCGATGTGCATATACTTTGTGTTGACTGGTATTGTGACTGGTTTCAGTATGCTTGTTTTACCAAGTTCAAATATACAATCCAATTGCATTGGCAAGGCTCTTTTTAACAATACACATTGGACACTAGTTTGGACTATTCATTTTGTCTATTCAATCCACGTTGCAGCATTCACGGTCTTCTTTAGTCAATTTTTCAGACGCCGTAAGTCTCAAGTTCGATTGTGAAACCAATTATTACTTATGTCAGACAAAAAATTCTTAGACATTTACACTGAGTATTAAAACCTGGTCTCGAGTTTTTCAGTAATTAAAAAAAAAACAAAAAGAAACAAGAACTTGACTAAAAAAGAGAATCATAGAATAGAATAAAGATTGTGAAATTCGTTCAAACTAATATATATTCGTCTGGAAAGTCATTTATTCTTCACTAAAAATGATTCAAATAAATAAAATTTTCTAATCACGAAAAATATTCAAATCAACAATTAATTATTTATGTAAACTTTGTTATTTCATTTAGCTCGATTGGCAACAATGTTGGGCTTTATTATATGGTTTTTCACATTAATTGATTTCTATCCTATTGTACCAGTTGGTGCTCTCTATTTTTTGTGCCTTTTTCCAAATATTGGTCTCATGATTTCTATTCAAGTTATGCTCCAATATGAACGTAAATGTAGTAAGTAAAAAAATTATTCTCGTGCTTATAATCATCGAAATTGAAAGCAATTTGGAATTCATAAAGAAAAGAAAGCCATACTTAATATAAGATGAGTGATTCTAGATGTAGAAAGCGAGTCTTAGTTCAAGAGAGGGCCTTCTATTATGGCGGCTGTAAATATGATTATTCATCAGTTTTTGCATTTATTATTGAAATTTTTCTTTGTTCTAGTGCGTTGAGCAGACACTATGCTTGTATATATTCGACAGTTCGTTTCACAAAAATTGAGATAATGGTACTACTTCTATCAAAAAAAAAGCTGTAAAAAAACCACGAGAACTGTTCAATCTGTTGCAATAATTTCTTGTATGCTATTGATTGTCACTTCTTTGTGACTCAAATATTGAGATGAGAGAAACATACCTTTGCCAGAAATGATTGATTATCGTTACGGTTCACTATTATGTTGATCATCTATTAGATGCTATAGTTGTAGCGTCCATCAGCATCAACATGTGAAATAACAATGTGCATTATGTAAAAATATTTTTTTAATTTTTTTGGTAAACAGATATTCATTTGATAGGTTCTTTTGAACTAAACTCGAATTATCACAAGTCAAGTGGGTAGACAAATAATTGATTTCTATGTTAGTTTAATCGTGGATTATTTTAAGTTCCATCTACCTGCAATCATACATTGTACAGTTACAAGTCTATAAAATAAGGACTTGTTTTCATAGAAAAACATATTTCTTATACGTGAAAATTATTGCATCTTTTATTCGACAAGCGACAATGTAATTGAAATAAACAACTGTTTACGATTCAAGCATCTATGTTCTTAGGAAGGAGTGGAGTTTATTTGTATAATTAAAATCTCGGAATATTATTCACGCAAAAGTAGTCGTTTCATAGCAGAATGTATAAGGCCACCACGTTTATAAGGTCAGGAAAGATAATCGATTGTTATATGTTCAAGAAAATGCATATTTTAAACTACAGTAACATTTTTTATGCTTCTTGTAATCCAGGATTAAGGCAATTGGTATTTTATGAACATGAATGAACATAATATGTTTCAAATACTAAGTAGGATAGAAATTGACTATATACGTACTATCTATTTTATATATGTTTTGTGGAAAAGATACAATGTATGTTGAAAAGATTTAAAGCATCAGTTCTACCGATAAAACAAAAAAAAAGTTAAGTTTTTCAAAGAAATATTTTGCACAGAACATCAAGGAGACATGTTACCTATTGGCACACATCTACTATCACCAAATGATACAAAAATAGCTATGCATGTGTTTTTTCTTCCCTATATCATAATACAAGTACAAGTAGTTTTGTTCGTTATTCTACATTGAAAAGTGATCGTGTCATTTTTTTTTCTTGTTCTTCAGGTGGAACGACAACATTTTCTCAACTCTTTTCGAATCTATTTACATATCCACTTTATATCGGCATTTGTCTACTTCTAATGCTTGTCTATTCTTTTATCTATATGATTTTGGCTATTTATATTGAACGTATTAATCCAGGTGAATTCTGTATATCACAACCATGGAGTTATTTATGTAAAAAAGGTTATTGGAAATCACGACGCG